GGAGTAATGAATCCATTCACGTTTAAGGTAATTATCAATATGTATGTTCCTATGATCATTTTCTTAATTGTTTTGGGTTTGTTTTGGTAGGTTCTTTTCTTCTCTTGTGTTTCCCACTTAGAGAAGTTCCTTTAGCATTTGTTGTAGAGCTGGTTTTGTGGTGCTGAATTCTCTTAGCTTTTGTTTGTCTGTAAAGCTTTTGATTTCTCCATCGGAATCTGAATGAGATCCTTGCCCGCTAGAGTAATCTTGGTTGTAGGTCCTTCCCTTTCATCACTTTAAGTATATTGTGCCACTCCCTTCTGGCTTGTAGAGTTTCTGCTGAGAAATCAGCTGTTAACCTTATGGGAGTTCTGTTGTATGTTATTTTTCGTTTTTCCCTTGCTGCTTTCAATAATTTTTCTTTGTCTTTTAATTTTTGCCAATTTGATTACTATGTGTCTCAGCGTGTTTTATCCTTTCTGGGACTTACTGTGCTTCCTGGACTTGGGTGGCTATTTCCTTTCCCATGTTAGGGAAGTTTTCAACTATAATCTCTTCAGATATTTTCTCCGGTCCTTTCTGTCTCTCTTCTCCTAGCACCCCTATAATGCGAATGTTGTGTTTAATGTTGTCCCAGAGGTCTCTTAGGCTGCCTTCATTTCTTTTCATTCTTTTTTCTTTATTCTGTTCCGCAGCAGTGAATTCCACCATTCTGTCTTCCAGGTCACTTATGCGTTCTTCCTCAGTTATTCTGCTATTGATTCATTGTAGTGTATTTTTCATTTCAGTTATTGTATTGTTCATCTCTGTTTGATTGTTCTTTAATTCTTCTAGGTCTTTGTTAAACATGTCTTGCATCGTCTCGATCTTTGCCTCCATTCTTTTTCTGAGGTCCTGGATCATCTTCACTATCATTATTCTGAATTCTTTTTCTGGAAGTTGCCTATCTCCACTTCATTTAGTTGTTTTTCTGGGGTTTTATCTTGTTCCTTCATCTGGTATATAGCCCTCTGCCTTTTCATCTTGTCTGTCTTTCTGTGAATGTGGTTTTTGTTCCACAGGCTGCAGGATTGTAGTTCTTCTTGCTTCTGCTGTCTGCCCTCTGGGGGATGAGGCTATCTAAGAGGCTTGTGCTAGTTTCCTGATGGGAGGGACTGGTGGTGGGTAGAGCTGGCTGTTGCTCTGGTGGGCCGAGCTCAGTAAAACTTTAATCCGCTTGTCTGCTGATGGGTGGGCCTGGGTCCCCTCCCTGTTCGTTGTTTGGCCTGAGGTAACCCAACACTGGAGCCTACCTGGGCTCTTTGGTGGGGCTAATGACAGACTCTGGGAGGGCTCTTGCCAAGGAGTACTTCCCAGAACTTCTGCTGCCAGTGTCCTTATCCCCACCGTGAGCCACAGCTACCCACCTGCCTCTTCATGAGACCCTCCAACACTAGCAGGTAGGTCTGGTTCAGTCTCCCCTGGGGTCACTGCTCTTTCCCCTGGGTCCTGATGCACACACTGCTTTGTGTGTGCCCTCCAAGAGTGGAGTCTCTGTTTCCCCCAGTCCTGTTGAAGTCCTGCAATCAATTCCCACTAGGCTTCAAAGTCTGATTCTCTAGGAATTCCTCCTCCCGTTGCCGGACCCCCAGGTTGGGAAGCCTGACGTGGGACTCAGAACCTTCACTGCAGTGGGTGAACTTCTGTGGTATACGTGTTCTCCAGTCTGTGAGTCACCCACCCAGCAGTTATGGGATTTGATTTTACTGTGATTGTGCCCCTCGTACTGTCTCGTTGTGGCTTCTCCTTTGTCTTTGGATGTGGGGTATCTGTTTTGGTGAGTTCCAGTGTCTTCCTGTTGATGATTGTCCAGCAGCTAGTTGTGATTCTGGTGTTCTCGCAAGAGGGAGTGAGAGCACGTCCTTCTACTCCGCCATCTTGGTTCCTCCTCTATTTTATTTTTATTTTTATTTTTGGCTGTGTTGGGTCTTCGTTGCTGCGTGCAGGCTTTCTCTAGTTGCAGTGAGCGGGGGCTGCTCTTTGTTGTGGTGCTCGGGCTTCTCATTGTGGTGGCTTCTCTTGTTGCAGAGCACAGGCTCTAGGCGCACGGGCTTCAGTAGTTGTGGCACATAGGCTCAGTAGTTGTCGCTCACGGGCTCTAGAGCGCAGACCCAGTAGTTGTGGGGCATGGGCTTAGTTGCTCCACAGCATGTGGGATCTTCCCTGACCAGGGATCGAACCCATGTCCCCTGCATTGGCAGGCAGATTCTTAACCATTGCAGGGAAGCCCCCCAAAATTGTTTTTTAAACTGTGAATTTATTTTGTTTGTAAGGAAGTAGACGGATTAAAAGAAAATAACTTAGTCTCCTATGCTATTCCTTACAAAACAAAATTCCAGACTTTTTTTTTCTAGAGAATTTTTTGAGTAGGAAATGTCTGTAGACTGTTTTCTTTTTTAGCACATTGTGTAAGAACACATTATTTGCTCAAATAAAAATTCCTGTTGAAATGTCTTTAAAAACATCTTTGAATAATTGCATAATATCATTTTTATTAAGTAAGAACTTAAATGGACCCAAGTTGTTTTGGATAAAACTCTTTCTGTCTCTTAAAGATGATACTATGGGAGGGAGTATAACTGGGGAAATGAGCTCAGTTATCAGTGTTTTGCAGGGGAAAGGTTTTAGAGTGTTTTCTTCATAACACATAAGCTCTTTTGTACCTTCTTATATCTTTTCATCACAGATTAATTAAATGTTATTTATTGTGATGTAGGTGAAGGGCTGTTCATCTCTAAAATGAATTGCCTATAGAATTTGGCTGAATATGAGTTCGCACAGTTTTAAGTATTTACAGAACTTAAGTATGGCTTCAAGTTGAATGATTGGAAGATGGAAAATCTTTAACTCCTTTATTATATGGTCCATTTCAAATATATTCAATTAATTTTATTAATAAAACCAGAAAGCATGATTTGTGGAATAGATTTACATTTTGCGAACTTATTGTGATGCTTTGATCTTATAGATTTTCACAGTTTATCTTCGTCTTTCTTTTTTTGTAATTGCTTGTCTTTTCAAAACATCTTCACAGAACTCTGACTTAAATTTGCAGAATCAAATTTCAGCTTCTAGTACTACTCTGAATGTATTGCCCTCTGAGCTCCCATACTTTTTCCTGTACTTTCTTTCTCCTTATCATTATAAACCAGTATATATTGAGTTCATATAAAAAGGTGGGTAAATATACTAGTATTTTATGTACATTATATTATTTAATTCTCAGAGTAACCCTTTGTGCATCATGTTATCTCTATTTTACAAATTAAAGAAACTGATATTTAGAGAGATTTAGAAACTTGCCAAAGCTCAAAATAGATACTTGTGAAGTTTGGGTTTGAATCCAGTTCTGTTAGATTCTAAAACCTGTTTTCTTCCCACTAAGTTATTTGCTGTATATCTGTTTCATTGTTTCATATTATAATTGAAGTCTTGTGCTCATCTGGCTTCCCTACCAGATTATGACCTGCTGGAGGAGAAGGATCTTGTCTTATTCACATTTATATCTTCAGTGCCCATTACTGACCCCAGAACTTTTATAATGAGTGTTGAATGAAAGACACTGACATCACTGATGTGGTAGCAGTGAGGCATGTGCTATGAAGTAGTTTCTCTAGTATAGACAGTTTCTAGGTTTACTGCATCAGATACCTCCTGCCCTTTCCATGTATTGCCGTTTATAGTTATACACACCCTTGCATGCCCAAACACACACTCTT